TCTATGCCTTTTTTTTTTGAGTGCTTCAAGGCTTTGTTAAAGGCATTTCGGCACTAGTAAGGTGGTTAGTTTGTAGTTTTCTCATCAAGGACATGAATAAACATGTTTTCTTTCTTCTCCCGTGGATGTAGGTCTCTTTGACCGAACCACGTAAATCTGGTGCCATCTTTACCTTTCTTTTGCTCTTATTATTTGCTTTATAATTCATATATTCCTCAATTATTTTTTTTGTTTGCCATACTAATTAATCGGTAATTCAGAGTTTAATCCTAACACCTCTGATCATCATCCCTTCGAGAAACGAAGAAGGAAGGATGAAACCTATAAGAAGAAGTGTGATTGGTGGAAGGATCGAATGTCTGTTTACAACGCCTGCATAACTTCTCCACCACCTTTCCTTTCTCTTCTCCTTCTTCCTTCTCCTTTCCTTTCCTAATCCTATTGTTCTCCTCCATCTTTTATCTCTTCTTTCCTTTGCATCGTCTCTCTAAGTCTTGTGTGTCTGTTATATATATAGATATGGAAAGGATCGTTATACCTCTTGGCCCCTCGATCGGTTGTAACTTGTGAAAAACACCTGCTCAAAGAAGCCAAAGGACCAACAGTAACGTAAATACAACCCAACTGCCCCGGCTGCCTAAAGTCCCAACGTAACTCAACACGTAAGAGTTAAGCGGGTTTGGGCTGGGTTGAGCCCATTGGATCAGCAAATTAATTAGGTCGATTCTAAAATCTAAAGTCAGCTCTCACATCAATATCAACGGCCGGGCATCAGGAATGCGTGCCGAGACCCAACAGTACAACACCCAAGTATAATGCTGCCAACCTAAGAAGATCCCTTATTAGGACCCGATGACCCGCAAAAATAATCACCGTGTGATCCGGCCATTTTAAAGAGGTGCATTACTAAGTCACATGGTAAAAGCATGCGGGTCAATCAGAAGAGGATGCATGATGTATGTTGAGATTGACGTGATAGCTGACTTTAGGATGATAGTTTTGTAACCCAATGAGCTCAACCAGCTCAACCATTACGTGTTGGGCATGCGATTTTACATGCGGGTCGGGTTGGATAACTAGGGTGGATGGTATAGACTAATGGAGTAATATCTAGCATAATTCGGATGATTTAGTCCTTGGTATATGTTTTTATTCATCGGAGATATATGAATGAAAACCGAATCCGATCTCTATCTAATAAGCTTTGCAAAAGATTCAAGCAATTGGCAAGTTTTCAACCCTTGCACATACAATAACAATACAGTGAGACCCCATAAGCCAATTAACCTACAATTCTGAACAAGTGGTGAAAACCTTAAACCTGGATCAATAAATGAGTTATTGGGGCATGTAACAGTTTCATATACATTAATTACTCTCCTAAGTCCTATCCCATGGTTTTATCGCAAATAGGCAACGGTGTGATGCATAAATTAAATTTTATTATTAATTAAGGCTGTGTTTGGTTTGAAAGAAAGGTAGGGAAAGGAAGTGAGATGTAGGGAAATACAGCCTAAAGGAGCGCTATGACGATGTTCCAAAGCTTTTAAAGTTCAGATAGAAAATATTATAATTTAGTAATTTATTTCCAGAGGAGTTCCTAATAAATAATTTATAGCATTTTTTTCAAAACACAAAATTAATTTTTAAAGAGAAGAAGATTTTATTAATAACTAAAAGAAGGATTCAAAACACAAAATTAATTAGGATTAGATATTCATGCCTTTTCTCTATCAGATATAACTTAAAAATGAATTCAGCAATGACTTAGTGATCATGTCTTATTTATCTATGATTTTTTTTTTGTATTTTTGCATGTTTCTATATGTTTATATTTTTATTATATGATTTATTAAACACCCGGATTGTTGAATTGTTGATCTATCATGCATGGGCCAAGATGGTTGAATGATTAACATGACCCAATCCTTCCTTATATGCAATATAGATTAATACTATATATGCTAATTAATGATCATTATTTGGATTAATTATTTAGTGTATGTAATATTAGAAGTTGAAAAATATGGACCACTTCAATAATTTATACTTTTTATAGACATATTTACAAATCCTTTCCTAGAATATTAGATTGATATAGAAATAAATTTCGAAAGCCCTTGTGAGTGTTTTTTTAATAGCTGGATTTTTTTAGGGAGTGTTTCGCTCTAAATAGGTATGAGACAAGGTGGGCTACCTCTCCTATACCTATTCTCTTTCCTTTTGACAATGGTTAACATAAAAAAGCAAAATTTGAGTATTAAAAAATAATAAATAAAATTAGAGTTTAGAGAACTAATAATAATATAGAATATTTTAGTTTTTAATTAGCCAGCCAAATTAATTGATTTATTTATCTTTAATATTATTATACATCTAATCTTATATTAATATGTGTATTTAGTTGTTTATATTAAATAAAATTTCTTATATAATAATGGGGCATTGAATTGAGGGGGCATTCTTTAATATTATTAGCCAGCCAAGAATCCCATGTTCTTTTTTCAGATTTATGTGGGGATCAGAGAAAGTTTATTTTCCTAGGTATACCCATCTTCTAGGTGGGTAAATAACTTTCCCACCTAGGGGGAAAGTTGCCAACACTTGAATGGGACAAAAATGTCCTTATTAATAATGGATTTTTATGGATAAATTGGTCATTGCCTTATTTACATGAGAAATAAAAGAACATGGGTAAATGCACTTACCCGGGTAAGTATTTCCCATGAAAAACTTACCCATATAACTTCATTTACCCGGGTAAATAACTTACCAAAAAGCAAACGGGGCCTAATATAAAATTAAATGAAAAGATAATTAATAGGCATTTCAATGAATGGCAATTGAGTTACTAATGTCTTTTGGTTAATTTTACGTCATTTTTAAAAATTCAAAAAACCCAGAAAATTTAGAAGAGTCTAGGAGAGTGGGGAGGGGCTTCTGAGCTAGGAACTGTATTTTATATGTTAGGGAGAGGGTGACATGGCTCTCCCTATTAATTTGTGATTCATATTTGAGATTGTGCATACTTTCTTTGTTGTCCTGATATTGTTTTTCTTTTCTGTAAATTTCCCCTTCATTCAGTTTTTTTCTCAGAATTCTCCCTTATTCCTCCTACTTTTTATCTCATCAAAATTATTGTTCGTTCTGAATTTTTTTCAATATTCCCACTTTTTTGGTTGCTCAGATCATGTAGTAGTAGTAATAACGGAGGCACCATGGATCATTCAATAACAAGCCAAGAGTGGATTCCTCAACAAATGGTACATTGTTCAAGGATTCTATATGGATCTATTTTCCACAGTACATGGTTCCCAGCATGTCACCTTGTTATATATCTGCAGGTGTCCTTAAATGGAATCAAAATGTTGCACCAAGCATCTTTTCTACAATTGGGGCAAGACCCATTTCTAACCAGCCATCCATCTATGCAAATCAAATGAAAGAAGTGACTGCAATTGGGGAGTCTTCTTGCACTTTCTCCCTCCTTAAAATCCTAAATTAGAAACAAAGAAAGACAGAAAATCAGTTTGAACTGTTGAGCAGCTTTAAACAATGGTAAATTCAACATAAGCAAATAAACCAATACCCTTTTTAAACAAGGAAGAAACTTGGAAAGTAGGTTATCTGAATTAGCCATTAAGCACACCTATGCATAAATGGGACTATTCTCTCTCTCTCTCTCTCCGTTTTTGTTTTTTTTTTTTTTTTTTTTTTGGGGGGGGGGGGGTGCTAGGACTAGGATGGGTAAAAAACAAAAAACAGAATCAAAAGTAGGGGTGTGATCTTCAAATCACCTACTATCCAAACTTTTCTGGATCCTTGATACGCTGCAACCTGCAATCTTATGGGCATTTTTGGTGGCCCATATCTTGCTTTTTTGAAGGCGGTGGCCCATATCTTGGGTACACCGCTACAGTGATGTATCATGTCAAATTGTCAATTATATATTGCTCTGGGCCCAGGGCTGTCCGTTTTACGCAGGCCCATTTTGCCTCAATAATTGCAGTTGCAGTCTATGTTGTCTTTAGCATACATCTCTCTCCTGAAATTGGGGAAATGGGACTGTTTATACATACATCCCTGGATATCCTAATTAAAAGCCATAGTTGATGATGGAAAGCCAGTAGAATAACAGAAACTTGACTGATTACTGAACGATCACCTTTCTGGGTCATGAAGTAGTACTACTGTCATGTCATGTGTCATAGCTTAAGCTGCTATAGACACTTGGGTTCAAAATCCATCTTCACCAAATTATAAAATTAATCACAAATTAACCAACTTGATTAGATAGCTATTGAAGGTGGAAGGAAAGGAGAATTGAAGCAGTAGCGTTTGTTATACCTCTAAGCAGATTGTGCAGTGAATCACATCGCAAGTGTCCGTGGTCTTGTTGTCATAAGCGAAGTAGAATTGGGGGAGCTTCGTTACCAAGCTCAGCGGCATCCCTTGAGAGCAGGCGTTGTCATAAATGTCATGTCTCTCTCGAGTGCTATGCTGTAATTTCGTCATCCAATGATCAGATATTTCATCTATCTTTAGTTATAGTGAGACCATGTAGAGTTGGAAGCTGCAGCTAGCTTCTTCATGGTTCATACTTACTTGCCAGTGGCACTGATATGCCTTATCAATTAAATGGCTCATCCATTCCTGGAAAATCTTTCCTTGCATTAGGCTTCTAAAGAGATCAACCTGTGCATCAAAGCATCTACGCATTAATAAATTTCATTAGGCTTCTAAAGATAACACACACACAGCCCTTTTATTGAATAGGGTCTCTAATATATATAATATTAGATCCAATACTGATGACCCATTAGTGATCAGCTTATTGGTCATGACCCTATAAGCTAAGACTAGCTAGATTTTGTTTGGTTTATTGGACCTGACCCTATAACACTGGATTATATTTGACAAGCTAATAGTTTTTAGCTTGGCAGTTTCTCAAAATATTTTTATAAATATCCCCATAAGAAAATGATGAGTTAAGGCTGTGTTTGGTTGCAATGCAAAATCATGACAGTGAAAATGATTTGAGTGTAAATTCTGACCTATTTTTGTTTCAAATTTTAGTTTATTTTGTTTGATTGCAATATAAAATGAAATAAATTAAGACAAAAAACAGAATAAAGTAAAATTTAAAACAAAATTTGCATTTTTTACATTTGCACTCCCATACATTTGTACTAGTGCAAATAAATTTGCACTGCAACCAAACACAGCCTAAAGATCTAATATGAAATTTACACAGACCTTGCATAAATTAATGTAATGGGTCGGTTGGGTTGGGACTTGGAGTCAGTCTAGTTGACCCCCCGGAGAATTGACAGTTAACAGTATACTAAATGATCCGATTGGCACTTGACAGAATCTATACGTAACGAACTAAAGATATTATCTGCTGTGCTAACACCAATGAAGTAGTAAAACTAAAAACGTCAATTTCTCTGTATATAATATACTAACCGTGGTAATTGCACCGTCGATCAAAGAGGATTGGAGCAATTCGATAGCAGCAACTGCGCCTGCAATGGCAGCGATTCCTGGCAAACGATGGATACCTGCAGGCTCTGGGCTTTGGCTCTTAACTGCATCTCTAACTGTTCCTACAGCGGTCCCTCCTGCAGAAATGAGAGATGAAATGCCAAGAGACAGAGTTGTCATCGGATGATATTCTTAACATTATGGGACAACAGGAGATTTATAATAATGAATTAATGGAGAGAAATTTCAGGATCAAGAACATAGCAAAAACCAAAAAAGTTAGTGCAATTTAATTACTTCTGAATTCAGGATGTACCTACTACGGAAATGCAGGTAAGTACAGCACAGAAGGCCTTGCAGGGCAGTCTTAACAAAATCCCACCAAAACCCACCATCTCTACAGAATCGGTAGCACTCGATCGGACAACAACAGGAATTAAACCAGCAGCACAATATAGAGGATGACGAGCTTCACTTGATTACAATTTACAGATATGAAGCGGAAGACACAGAAAAAAGCTAACCGCGCGTCTAGAGATGTGTGAAGATTGAAGAGCATAGAAGACGCATTTAAAACTTCAGGAATGCAAAGGTCATCAAAATGAATGAAAGGAGATGAAAGCTACTGAACACAGTGAGAGACATGCACCACGACGAATGCGGTAATAGAAATTGGACCTAGCTTGGGCAACCGCCTACTATGACTTTGCTTAGATGCGTGATGTTCCATAAAGAAGAAACAAAAACCCCCAAAACCAGGTGCTGCAGGCGACATGTATGGCGGTTTCTGGTTCAATTGGCTGGAAATATGAAGAGGTTTCTGGTTCTGTGGGTCAGTTTATCCACTAAAGAAACTGATCAGGAAAGGGCCGGGCAAGTGGCCTTCCAAGAATTGAAAAGTTGAAGGAAATTTCTCTGATTGTATGCATTTAATAACTAAATATTGCAGATTCATGTGACCCAGCTAGCACATTTAATTTCTGATTTCACTGTCAATGATCATTCCTCCATTAAGGAGATAAACAGTAATTTTATTTAATGAATTAGTGTTCACAAAGCAGGAAGCCTATGAAGGTATATATATTCATGAATTAATCTTCAAGTCAGAAGTGTTTGATGAGCTATTTTTTACAGGGCAAAGTGGATATCTTCAAGACTTCAACCGAGTTGAAGAGTTGCCCAAATCTGTTTACAAGAAAAGCTAGCCTATTCTGGGCACCGGAAGGGATTTGGAGTTAAAATTTGCCCATTTTTTTAGTGGAAAATTTTTCCATAGATAAAATTCCTCTTTAGAGGCAGATAACAAAGACATGTAGCCTAAACATGGGTGACGTGGTTGTAATATCCACTGTTGAAAGGAACATTCCCTCCTTTATAGAAAGTAGTGAGAGTGAAGACTTTAATAGTGGCCAAGGAGGGGCCGGATAGGCTGTGTTTGATTGCAATGCAAATTTATTTGCATTAATACAAATGAATGGGAGTGCAAATGTAAAAAATGTAAATTTTTGTTTAATTTTGTTTTGGATTTTACTTTATTTTTCTTTATATCTTAATTTATTTCATTTATATTGTAATAAAATAAAATAAACTAAAATTTGAAAAAAAAAGGTCGGAATTTGCACTCAAATCATTTGCACTGTTATAATTTTGCATCAGTACAAATTTATTTGCATTGCAACCAAATACAGTTTTAGATTTTAGATGCAATCCTCTCTATTTGTTTAAACATACAATTCATTTAACTTCATTTAAGTCGTGCACATATAAATTACACAAAATTAATGACGTTTTTCTTTGAGAAAGAAAAAATAATTCAGATTGTGTTCATTCTAGTTGACCAAATTAAACGAAGTTGGATTCTTAGAAATGCCACGGTTTCATCCAGCAATTATCCCCGAGAATGGAGGTACGTGATAACTTTGCGCTATCTGGTTTTGATCTTGCCTTCGAGGAAATACTAACTTGAGCTTCGGAGCACTCTCACCGGGTTCCTCCCCGGAGACTCCTCGCCTTCTTCTCTGTTTCAAGCACCTGTTGCTCCAGTCGGAGGCAAGGTCATTGACAACTAGTACCGACCAGATTGCACTACATCATTTGGCGCCGTCTGTGGGAAACGCTTCTAAAAGCCTCCCTCTAAAACTTTCGTAGCACCTTCTGACCAAGAAACCCCAACACCTATGGCTTCTTTCAGCAATGTCGGACGTAGCACGGAGATGAACGCCACCGGGGAACAACTTCAAGTCCCCGTGGTATGCATCGGATAGTTCACCATCCCCCTTTCGGTGGATGGGACCCCCAACCTGAGTACGCCGCGAACAATGGCGCCTATGAATCTTCCCTCCGTGAATGTCCCCCTTCCTCCCTCTGTTGGAACCACCTTTGCTGAACCTACCATTGTTCCCCTGGCAACTAGCCAGAACCAATTCGATGACCTGATGCATGGCATGCGGGCCATCCAAGCCCAGATGCAGCAGCTTCAACAACAGCAAATCCACCAGCAGCAGATGCTGCACCATGTCTCCCAGTACCACTACCAACAGCAGTTCCCCCAACTGCTTCGAAGTCAACTTCAAAGTCAACCGCAGCTCCCACCTCGGCACCCCACCGTTAGGCGAGCCAAGTCCTCCCCTCAAGGCGGGCGCCCCCACCAGGAGACTTCCCAAGCTCGGGCCTCCCAGCCTTAGAGCCCCTCTAGAAGCCAGGCCTCATCCCCTGGCAGGAGAGAGTGAGCTGCGGCCCCCACCTCGCCACGCGCTGACGGATCAGGAACCCGATCTGCCAAAACAGCATCACCTCAGCACCCTCAGGACGGGCTCCTGCACACAAAGAACCGGTTCAGCGCCTTAGCCGCGGACTACCCCCAACAGTCCAAGCCCATCGAGCTCGGGAACACCGAGGCAAGTAGTGCCATCGCTGGGCCTTCCAAGCAGTAGAGGCGCCGCCGGCGAAGTCGCCGAACTGCAACCTGCGTCCTACCCGAGCTCTGGGGCAAAGAAGAAGCGAGCTCGGACGAGGTAAAAGCTACCCCTGTCCTCTTAGTCCCTTCCCCCTGTCATCAGGACTCCTTGCAGTCCCCATGCCCAGAGACTTCAAACTCCCCCCACTTGACAAGTATGACGGGTCCTTTGACCCCAGCGACCATGTCGATGCCTTCCAGTCCCAGATGCACCTGGCGAGAGTCAGTGAGTCCTGTATGTGCGTAGCCTTCACCACCACCTTCAGAGGAGTGGCTCGCGCCTGGTACAGGAACCTGGCCCCTGGGTCAATAAGGAGCTGGGCCCAGTTCATACAAGTCTTCACTGCGCACTTCGTAACCAACAAGCGGTGCCCCCGAACCAAGGAGAGCCTCCTCGGCGGTCCAGAAGGAAGGAGAGCCCATTCGCAGCTACATCAAGCGGTTTAACGATGCATGCCTACAGATCCCATGCCTGGACCCCGCAGTTCAGCTCACAGCGCCCAAGATGGGAGTGATGCACAAGGAGTTCAAATGGCACATAGTGGCCAACCAGCCCACGACCATCGCCGAATTCCTTGATCTCGCGGACAAGTTCATGCGAACGGAGGAGGAGATCCATCAAAGGAGTGGGGGTGGGTTTGAAAAAAGAAAGAGAGAAGAACTCCCCAGCCAAGGAGATAACTAGAAGGATCCAGCTCGAGCGCTGAAACCGAGCCAACCGTTCCGAGCTCCCGCGGCAGGTCGGACAAACTATACACCCTTGAACACAAAGCGGACTGAGATCTTAATGACGATCAAGGACACCCCGTACGTAAAGTGGCCACCTCGCCTAAAAGGAAACCCAAACGAGAGGAACAAAAACATGTACTGTAGTTTCCATAGAGAGCACGGTCATAGTACCAAAAATTGTAATAATCTCCGCGATGAGATAGAGGAACTCATCCGCCGTGGGTACTTAAGAAATTTTGTACAGCATAGTAGTAACAATAATAATAATAATAATAGTAAGACAGGTCGACGAGGGGAGCGCGACAAAGATGCTCCTGAATCTAGCAGCAGGTCGGCCGAACAGCCACAGGAGCAGCCTCCGGAAGAGAGGCCAGTTCGGGGGACCATCCACGTGATAGTGGGAGGTTCGGTTGTAGCAGGGTGCACTTCGGCAGCGGCCCGGACGTTAGTTCGCGAAGCTGCTCGAGAAGACTAAAATCCTCCAAAGAGGCCGAAGGTGGAGGAGCCAATTCTTTTCACAGAAGACGATGCGCGAGGGGTCCACTACCCTCACGGCGATGCACTTGTGATCAAGCTGAGGATCAACGACTTCGAAGTCAGGTGCGTGCTTGTCAACTCAGGCAACTTGGCAGACATTCTATTCAAATCGGCGTTTGACCAGCTCCAGTTGCGGGGAAGTGACTTGAAGCTCGCGAACACTCCTTTGGTGGGCTTCAGTGGGGAAGATGTTAGGCCCCTTGGGAAAGTGACAGTACTCGTCGAGGTCGGCACGTGGCCCTGTGCGGTCAGACTCAACCACGACTTCCTGGTGGTCACGACCCCCTCCCCGTACAACGCCATAGTGGGGCGGCCAATCACCCACGTCTTACGGGCGGTGGTCTTCACCTACTATTTGGCGATGAAGTTCCCCACGGACTTCGGTGTAGGAGTAGCGCGGGGCGACCAACTCGAGTCCTGCAAATGCTATGTGGCCACCTTGAAGGGAAAAACCAAAGTGGCCGGCGAACTTGAACTGGAACGCCCTACGGAGCAAGGCGAAGAGCAAGCTGCGCCCATAGAAGAAACGATCGCGGTCCCGACTTCGACGACAGACCCAACTCGGACGCTACAGATTGGTGCTTCCATCCAAGAACCTCTACAATCCGAACTGGTAAGTTTCTTACTTCAAAATTTAGATATTTTTGCTTGGTCTGCAGTAGAAATGCCCGGCATAGACCCTGTGCTCATAACTCACAAACTCAATACTAACCCCGTAGTCAGATCCATTAGACAGAAGAAACGCAACTTAGCCCCAGAACGCTGGAGGGCAATCGATGAGGAGGTCGAGAAGCTCCTTGAAGCAGACTTCATCAGGGAAGCTCATTACCCAAGCTGGGTAGCCAACCCAGTACTGGTAAAAAAGGCAAACGGCAAATGACGCATGTGTGTCAACTACATTGACCTAAACCGAGCTTGCCCGAAAGATTGCTTCCCCCTCCCCAGGATTGACCACCTAGTAGATGTGACCTCGGGACACGAGTTGCTAAGCTTCCTAGACGCCTACTCGGGTGACAACCAAATCAGGATGGAGCCAACGGACGAGGAAAAAACAACCTTCATAACCGAGTTCGGAGGCCAACCCGGGCAAAATAAAGGCCATCTTAGATATGAGACCACCATGAAAAGTAAAAGAGGTTCAGAGGCTAAACGGCAGGATAGCCGCTCTGAGTCGTTTCATGTCTAAATCAGTAGACCGCTGCCTGCCCTTCTTCAAGGCGATAAAAGGCAAAGGGTTCGAGTGGAACTCGAACTGCCAGCTCACATTTGACGAGCTCAAGAAATACCTCGCCAGTATCCCAGTGTTGACCCAATCCAAAGAGGGCGATGTTTTAGAACTGTACCTTTCGGCAAGCGACGAAGTGGTCAGTTCGATACTGATAAAGGAAGTAGATCAGGTCCAACGACCCATCTACTATGTTAGTAAAATATTGCAGGGAGCAGAAACAAGATATCCAGAGATAGAAAAGCTAGCCTATGTGCTGGTCATCGTGGCCCGCAAACTCCGCCCGCATTTCCAAGCCCATACCATTGTCATCCTCACTGACAAACCCCTAAGGCAAG